CTTGATCCCAGGACCCTGGGATCATGACCTGAGCCGAAGGCAGACGCTTAACAACTGAGCCACCAGGCGCCCCAAAATAATTAATACTCATTTTAAATATAATTACTTGATGTCTTTAATTGAAATTTCTTTCTGCATATTTTGATTCTGTACTATGATCAAAAACCTCATTGTCTCCATGGATTTGAACAATCAATAAAATAAAATAAATATAAAATATCCAAAGAAAGAAGTTCAGTTAACTCAGAGCTAAATACCTTTGAACATGAAAATGTAGCTTAAAATACTTACTTGCTCTGTCCATAGAATTTAGAAAAAGGAATAAAGATATATTTTGAATTCCACCAGTGTTTTTAATCAAAAGTTTACTCAAGCTGGTTTCTTGCAAAAAGCCATTTCTCCTCTGTTAATTTTTTTTAAATTACGTACACTTAAGAGATGAGCTGTAAAATACTTCATTAGTTTTGTTGTTTGAGGAAATGGACAAATCTTAGAAAGAACTGGAGTATTGATAAGGATGTTACTGATGAACTGTCCTTCTTTTGATTAGTGAATTTCACGCACTGAAAGATATCCCGAGAGTGATCAGGGCAACTGAGTCAGACCCACACAAATATGAGATGATTAAATGAAAATGCAATCAGCAGTGGCCTGGGAGCACTGCCTGGTGAGAGATAATACTGTAGCTCTCTAATTGGCTCATAGCAGGCATGCAGGATGACAGATTTCAGTTGTGGGATTGCCGGTCCTGCTTCCCCCAGCACTATTATCTCAGAGTGACACTTCCATTACTCTGAGCAGAGAAAGATGAACGTCACCTGTCAGGGGCTGGTTAATTGTGTTGCTAGATGTATGTTACCAGGGTGCAGGTTGGACATTTATGAACATAACTGCTTCCTCTGATGTCCGCCATCCTTCAGGGATCGATATGGCTCTTACAGTAAGCACGTAATTGAGTGAAGGCACTTACCACTGAGGGGCTGAAGATGAGCCCATTGTGCGAGCTTCATTGTCCATACATTCACCATAAATGAGCTGATATTTCCCATTTATTGTGTGCAGCATTGTGGAAATGGAAACTAATGTGCCACTTTCATTTGTTTTCTAGATAAATGGGGAAGATGTCCAGAATCGAGAAGAAGCAGTGGCGTTGCTGTCTAGTGATGAGTGCAAGAGAATCGTGCTGCTTGTCGCAAGGCCCGAGATTCAGGTCAGAGCAGAGATCAGAAATCTTGAGACTGAACTTGACATCCATTATTTGCTATTCTATGTCAAATCAGTACCATGGCTATTGGTAAAGCCAAGTATGCAAAACATAATTAAGAGCCATTTTTCCTGACTTACCAACCTTATCAACCTTATCTTTTTGAAAAAAAGAAGGAAAAAAGCACACAGGATGGAACCATTATTCTCTCCTTCCACTTGCCAGTTATTTGAATGAATGCATAAATGAAAACTGGTTGACTTTACATGATTCTTAGTTCTGTCTGGATCCTTGCTTTAGGTTTCTATCTGAAAATACTTAATTGGCATATTAAGGTATCTTGAAAGAATCTCTAACGAGAGAAACATTAGCATATCCAGCTATCAACTTAAATCTTTTTAGAAGAACGTTATCAAATGAAGTGGCCTATGTAGCATGGAGCAGTTCCATGTGTAGTAAAGGAATTTTTTCTAAGTGCAGTGTGACAAAAACATCTCTCCGGCCAAAAGCAAGCGAACAGCTTCTGGAGGACTTGTTTTTTATATCTTTAACAGAGGGGAGATGTCATGAAAGTAAAGGAAAGGTAATGGTGGAAGAAAAGTGCTACTGGTCCATCTTTTCATATTCTTTTCATACCCCACCACAATGCAGAAAGGACAGCACGTTGTCACCTTCTATCCATCTGTCAGTAGTTTGAGTGAACTTGCTTATGTCACCATTTGACTCCCAGGTTATTGATCTGATATTTTTCAAACTCAGTAACTGCATGCTATCTATAAATTAAATTGAGTAAGTGTATTTCAGTGTCAGACCAAATCCTGACTTGAATATAGTGGTTATAAAAGATCACCCTTTCCGCATATATTCCCTTTATGCCCTTGACCACTCTAAATGGTTCCCATAAAGCCTGCTATAGCCCAAGGCAGAGTAAAGTTACACACCTGAGGTCTCAGGAGTGGGGAAGGGAGACTACACGCCTGGCTGGACTGCCTGTTGAGGAGTGAATTTAAAAATACAGAATACGTATGAAAGTTCACTAATGAGCTGGAAATTTTGCAAACCAGTTAGTCTCACTGATCCCATTTTCTTGAAAAAGAACACAAGAAAGGGGCTAAACACATGTTAGTGAAATTCATGGTAAACAGAAGAGAACTCCGGGGTCGTCTCTGTCATAGAAAAGATATTTCGATGTTGTAATGTGGTTTCCCTGCCCTTTCCATGTAACCTGCTAGAGAACTTCATTAATTTAGAGTTAAAGCATTTCCTTAAACTATGCCACAGAACAGCTATAATGAACTGTGGAAAGAATCGAAATTAATGACATAAGACTAGATCCTGTTAATCATTGAGAGAATACATATGGTTGGTAGAACTGGTGGCATTTTCAAATACCTGACTACACTCCGGACCTAGTAGAATCAGTGTTGGAGGATGAATTTCCAAACAAGACTTCCTTTCCACAGTTGAGAAAAGATGGCTGTCTGACTGCAGGATACTCTCCGTCCTGTCAAAATCAGGATCTGCTTCAGCTCCTTGATCCTAAAGAAGCCTCATGACACTGGAAAAGAGCTAATTGCCTTTGGAAAAGCAGATTTCTAGAAAAAGAAAGAAAGAAAATGAATCTTAACACCATATTTTAAAAATCTAATTTAAGCAGTACATGCTATAAAATGGCAAGAAAAAAAAGATCCAAGAAAACCTTGCCTTTATTTCACCTGTATTTTTTTTTATCAATTTCAATGTATCTTGTTATTGCATTTTTTGCAAATGAATTTTACTCAGTGAATATGTGGACGTTTCTTGTGTGCTTTTTCTAGCCTTTTTCTTTTTTTAATATTTCAAATACTCTCTACATTCTTGGGAATGAGCTACAGATTTGCTGGGGGCAGTCTTGTACATCAGTGCAATATTTTTAAATAACTCATTTCTTTCATCCCCTGTCAACTTTCTTTCATTTTCTGCCCATTTTCTTCCTCAGACCATTAAAGATACTGCTATTCTCTCTGCTTTCCCTTGGGACATTGGGGCAGAGAGGGCTCTCATAAGAACTTGTAAACACTCCTCCTGAGACAATGCAGGTTGTTCCTTTCTCTGAAATGCCACATAAGTTCCACTGCTGTGCAAACACGTCCCAGTTTCATAGAGTCCTCCTTTCCTGCAGCTCAGCTCCAGGGAATGGTTGGCCTGTGGCGGAGTCTGAAACTCAGACTACCGTGAATGCATGTTTAAGTGGAAAGGGAGATACAACAGGGGAAGGAAGTGAGCAAGAAGCTCTCCTTACTCACTTGCAGTGTACACCTCCAGCCAAAAGACTTGTCAAAGTAGATGTACGCTGACTACAGATGGCAACTCAGGGATCTGTGGGATTAGCTAATAAGAAAAGAGTTATAGGGAATCATTAATTTCTACTGTTTGTTCCCCTTATCCTTCCCACCCCTTCATTTAAATTTCAGAAGACTCTGTTCCATCATTCACTACATCTGTGCAAGCAAATATTTTGTTTTGACCTGATTAAAGAAAAATTCCTTGGTGTGCTTATAAAAAGTAAACATGTCTATCTCTATGTAATTTCTTTTGGAGTCTGGAGTTTGCAGCTTCATGACACTTACAAGGGATTAAAGAATATAAAACTGGGACCCCTGGGTGGCTCAGTCAGTTGAGTGTCTGCCTTCAGCTCAGGTCATAATCCCGGGGTCCTGGGATAGAGCCCCACATCGGGCTCCCTGCTCATGGGGGAGCCTGCTTCTCCCTCTCCCTCTGCAGCTCCCCCTGCTTATTCTTGCTCTCTCTCTCTGTCAAATAAATAAAATTTTTTTAAAAAAAATGTAAAACTTAGACAATTATAGATTGAATTTGAATTTTTAGCCAGCTTAATTTTCATAGTTCATGTGCATATCAAAGTCAGTGACGTAGAACTTGCTCAAGTTATTCAGGCTACATTAAGATAAATGAGGATGAATAAATGTGTCTACACTTTTGACCTCAGTCAAATTTGAGTAATTTATGTTCTAGGTAGCCTTTAATAAATATCAAGAAAATAACAACTACCTTCATATTAAGTAATATGATGCATATATGCCCATGCCTTTTCTGGTGCAACTTAATGTCCTCTCCGAGTTTATTTTGTTTTCAAGTTTTACAGTTTCAGTTACTTTTAAGAGCTTATTTTGCCATTGTTGAGTGGTGAAAACACCTCAAACTATGGCTGACCCTTGAGCAATGCAGGCAGGGATTAGGAGAGCCAAAGTCCCCACCCAGTCAAAAATTGGTGTGTAACTTCCGACTCCCCAAAAATTTAACTACTAATAGCCTACTGTTGATTGGAAACCTTACTAATACCATAAACACTCTATTAACACATATTTTATATGTCACATGTATTCTATACTATTCTTACAATATAGTAAGCTAGAGAAAAGAAAATGTTATTGAGAAAAGCATAAGGAAGAGAAAATAGATTTAGAGTACCGTACTGTATTTATTTTTTTAAAAATCCGCATGTAAGTGGACCCACGCAGTTCAAACACCTGTTGTTCAAGGGTCAACTGTATTGTCAATTTTGGCTCATTAGAAAGCTACTGTTTCTTTTAACACAGAGTAAAACAGAGCATGGACAATAATTCAGGTAATTTAATCAGCATAGACAGCTAATTTATGTAATCCAGCTCCAGAAATCCACTTTGAGGCAAATTATCTGTATTGACTGTCAACACTCATCATATTAGCAAGGTTTCCCACTTCACTTTGTATTGAAAAGCCAAAAAGATTTATTCAGTTTAATTTGTGTAAGACTCCCACCAGAATACTTGCATCCTGAGCCCACAAACAAAACCCTGCATGCTCCACACTGCTCCACTCCCCTTAGATGCAACGTTTCAGATATAGATATAGATAGATTGATATCTATCTATTTATCTGTCTATCTATATATATGTTTTTTTTGTAATTCAGCCTACCTGAAAAATGAATCAAAATAGACATGGCATAGCATCACCTTTTTTTTGGGGGGGGGAAGAATAACTTAGAATTTTTCTTTTCTTCCCCCCAGATAAAATAAATGTCTGTATTTGTGGCAAGCAGCCATCTTGTTAACTTGGAAGCCATCTGCCTAAAGATAAAAAAGCAGGATGAGGGTAGCATCAGTGTGTTCTGGGGGTGGGGAAAACTTTGTATGTAGTCTCATTGGGGGTTTTTATTAAGGAAAAAAGCCCAATTGTCTCATGGTCCTATTAGTACCATTGCAGTGCTTTAACATGGGCACTGTTGGAGGTAGTGAACATGACAGCTGTGGATTATGCAATATGCTTTTCATATATTTTGAAAGATGGTAATGTTCTGTGCTTTGAGATCTACTTGGTTATGAGAGAAAATCTGTAACTCTGTTTCAGGAAAGGATAAAAGGCATACGAGTCCTTTTTTTTTTTCTTTAAATCACCTTTTCTTCCTTCTGAGAGGTGAACTTATCAGAGGCTGGTATTCTGAAGAGAATCATTATGATAAAAGGAACTGGTCAGGCATCGCCATTTAAGTTTCCCCTCTTTTAGCATGAGTTCCCACTAACCTAATATAATGTACTAATGTATTCTTTTGCAGCTGGATGAAGGCTGGTTGGAAGATGAAAGGAATGAATTCTTAGAGGAGTTAAACTTGGAGATGCTGGAAGAACAGCATAATGAAGCGATGCAGTGCACGGCCAATGAGGCGGAGCAGGTAGGACCAACGATTTGAACTACATCATTTGAAATGTTGCTAGTTTTTTTTTTCTTAATACGTAACCATAAATGGAGTAAAAAAAAAAAAAGAGTTTGATCAAACACCTCTGTAATGGTAATTTTTTAGAGCAGATGGGCATCTCAAGTGAAGCAGAGGGAATAAATACAATTTTTTTCTATTAAGATCTTTCTAGCTTGGAAAGACTTGGGACCATTGTTGCCAGAGTACAGTAGGATTCAATGTTGACCCAGGTACCATTCGACCTAATTCAGAAGCTTAACAGAAAAATGTGCATTGCTTTTCAATATGCCAGCTGGAGACAAACTATATTTCATGAGATAATCTCTCTCCAAAAAATTAATTTTATAATTTAAAATATTAATGTGTCTATTTGAATATTTAGGCACGTATAAGATGATGATGACATGATGTAAGCCATCAATCTTATTTATGTTTTTGGTATCGTGGTCCTACCTATATACTCCTCAACAGGAGTCACTCTATTTGAGATCATTGATATCATCTCGCCTGAGGGTCACATAATCATTCAGCCAAAAATGCTGAGCTCCTCATATGTCCCAAGTACCACACTTGATCCTGAGCATACAAATTAAAATGAAAAAAGTTTCTGCTCTTAATTAATTCACTGCTAGTGAAAGATTATACAGGGGCCTGTGGCAAACTGAGTCTTGGGATTCTTTTGTGGTTGTTGTTGTTCCTACGGGATAAAGACAAGATCAATATATCCGAGATTTTTTTACGTTGAATTCATGTCAGTCATCTGCCTGATATAATTTTATGAACACTTCTGCTGTCAGTTTATTGATTTGTTTAATTATCACCCTGGTCTCAACATGAATCCTAACACATTCTAAAAGATAGCTTTTTTGGTGTTTTGGGTTTTTTTTAAGATAGTTTTAAAAAATCCTGGACAGCTAGGCTTAGGGACATGAAGCACAAACCTTCTATCACTTTACCAAGTTGCATGATGGAATATGTTGCCATGCAAGCATTCCATAACAGAGATGTGTGCGTGTGTGTATGGGCACATGCCTGTATATTAAATAAATCACTATACTGCAGACTACGGTGTCAAAGCCATGTGCACTATTCTCTGTTCTGAGCACGGATGCTCACTGGCCACTTCACAAACAGTAGTTCATGCTCAAGAGCGATGCTGCTACTGTGGGATTGCTTTTCAGTATAGGTGGGGCAGATTGAAATTTTTATGTACGACTTCAACGCTGGCCACAAATAAAGATATTTTTTGGTGGCAGCTGTTGGTTACAAGTAAGAAAGTCCTTGCTCCAGGCTTTTTCTCTCTTAGATACAAAATGTGACCTGATACAGAATTGACAGGAGGATGTTGGAATAAAGAAAGAAGGGAGAAATCCTGTCCAGGTGAAGTGATACGGTGTCAAATGCTGCCTATTCATCAGACTTAATACAAATGCTTGGTCTTTTGAGGTAACACTAGATGTCCCTGAGGTTAGATTCTCATTGTGTGGAAATTTTTCTTCAGCATGAGACTGAAAAATGATAAGAAGTACAGAAACCTTTAAAAGTCCTTTGCCCTTATAAACAATAATACTACATTAGAAATGTCTTGGTAGAAGCATTGCCTGTCACCATAATAATTCCTTAGGGAAATAATAAATGATAGAGTGGCATTACATCAGAAACTAGGAATTCTAGGTTTGGGAATGGAAAACCCTTTTTTATTTTCACACTTGCTCGTAAACCGGTGACTAAAGAAAGGGAAATTCGATAAAAAAACAAAACATATATCCGTGCTTCAAAACTAAAATCCATATACACATTAAAGTTTCACTTTACATACCCTGTCCTTGGTGTTAGGGCTGCTGGTGGCACGTCGTGGAGCATCTCCCACAGCACAGTTCGTCTGTGTCCTTGGCACTCCACATAAAAATAAGATAAAAAAAAAAAAACTAGCCTTCTTGTATTTTTAAGCTCATTAAAGATATGAAAAATATAAATGTAAATAATGTAGTGTATCAACTCAGATGTCCAATATCAATAATATCCTCTGGGGGGTTTATGGTACATGTGAAGGTCACCACACTGGATCCTATTGTCAGCTTATGGCAAGGAACATACAGATACACCAAGCACTCCACTGTTAGTTACAATTACTTATTTAGAACATTATTATTTTTTTTTTAAAGATTTTATTTGAGAGAGAGGATGAGAGGAGAGAGAGAGCACATGAGAGGGGGGAGGGTCAGAGGGAGAAGCGGACTCCCCACTGAGCAGGGAGCCCGATGCGGGACCCGATCCCGGGACTCCAGGATCATGACCTGAGCCGAAGGCAGCCGCCCAACCAACTGAGCCACCCAGGCGCCCCTAGAACATTATTTTTTTATCAATATGATGTTTAAAATCTCAGCATATTTTCAACAAATGAGGAAAACTATTTGAGGGAAAGACTGGGAATCCTTAAATAACTTTATACATGCTCATGTTCTCTCCTCTGCAGTTTAAGTTTTGTTCGGCCTCTGTGGAAGAAAATAAAGCCATTTTCTCGAGAGACTCTTTCACACCTGTTTTAGAATATCTTTTCTCATGCATTCTGTCCTTCTTTAACACTAACAGGCTTAATTATATTTAATTGTATAATTACACCTGCTAGAGGAAAATATATACATAAAATGGTGAGTAAGTTTACACATAAAGGAAATACAATGTAAAAATTGCCATGTAGACTAGTATACGATAAGTGATGGAGGAAAAAATAATTTTACCCTCTTCACAGAGAAAGAACGACATGTGCATCCTCTTAGGAAAGCAACAGTTAATTGTTCTGCATGAAAGCCATAAACTACCAAGGAATAAAGATTACATATGAGTGTGTATTCACAAATATGTCCAAAATATATTTTTTTTATATTATGCCCATGTCTGGCAATCAGTGCTGCTCCGATTTTCATGAGAACTGTCACTTTACTCTGAATAGAATAAAATTCACCTCTGAAGGAAATAACCAGTCGAGAATAGAAAAATACTTTTAAGTAACTCAAAGCAGTCCTAAGGTGACTTTGTTGATTTTGAGTAATGTGATTTGGAGATGCATTGAGGTCAGGGCGCACGTATGCAGGATTATGGCATCCTGAACATTGAAGAAATCCTGATTCTGGGGGATGGCACTGGCCTTTTCTACTTTTCTCTGGGTCACGAATAAGCTGAATCCATCTGGGATTAAAGTTCCTCATCGATAGAAGGGCCGAGGCTCCAGTACTAACCTATTCTTGAAATACTGTGCTGTCTGGCTTACCATTACCAGTGTGTTACTAGATCAGCGAAGTTTCTTCTGAACTTAAAGTTCAGGAAAAAAGTCCTCATAATAAGGTGATGCGGCTTCAGCACTCCAGGCCTCCATACTGCAGAAGACCATTTAGATCACCTGTCTCACTCATCCTTTTGTGTGTTACCACCTCAGAGACTCATAAAGTCACCTCATTTACACACCTTCATGCCAGTTTCCCAAGTAACAGAGAACCTTAAGGTAAGAATAATTCATTTAAATGAGGCCTGTTTTATTTATCCCCAAGTCAGGTCTCCAAGCAGTTTTGGTTTTCTTTATTTCAATTCATAAAAAGCTACCTTGAGCAAATTGCCTTTATTTCTAAAATGGTTAAGGATGCTAAAATTAGAACAGCTTTCTAGGAACCACACCTTTGCCAAGAAGCATCGTTTTTTTTTCAAGCAAGTTTTGCAACAACTGGTGTTTTTCCAAAATAATTGATTTCCTTTGATCTCTCAACTTTATTTTCTCAGCCAAAAAAACAAGAAGAAGAAGAAGGCACAACAGACACAGCAACATCATCCTCCAACAACCATGAGAAGGACAGTGGGGTGGGGCGCACAGATGAAAGCTTGCGGAATGATGAGAGCTCAGAGCAGGAGAATGCAGCTGAGGATCCCAACAGCACATCTTTGAAGAGCACGAGAGAGCTGGGGCAGAGCCAAGACACTCTAGGAAGCGTTGAACTTCAGTGCAATGAGAGCTTCATGTCTGGCGAATACATCGACTCCGACTGCATTGGCAACCCAGATGAGGAGTGTGAAAGATTCCGACAGCTCTTGGAGCTCAAATGCAAGTTTCGAAACCCTGGAGAGTATGACCTGTATTACTCGAGCAGCACAATAGAATGCCATCAGGGGGAACAAGAGGGTGTGGAGCACGAGCTACAGTTGCTTAATGAAGAACTAAGAAACATTGAACTGGAGTGCCAAAATATCATGCAGGCTCACAGGCTCCAGAAGGTGACAGACCAGTATGGAGACATCTGGGCTTTGCACGATGGAGGATTCCGGAATTATAACACCAGCATGGATATGCCACGGGGAAAACTAGATGACATCATCGAACACCCAGAGAAGTCAGACAAGGACAGTTCTAGTGCTTACAACACAGCAGAAAGCTGCAGAAGCACCCCACTCACTGTGGACCGTTCCCCTGACAGCTCCCTTCCAAGAGTGATCAACCTCACCAATAAGAAAAACCTGAGAAGCACAATGGCCGCCAATCAGTCTTCTTCCGGACAGAGCAGTAAAGAGTCGACCTCCACCAAAGCCAAAACCATGGAACAGGACTGCAGCGTGGAGGGCAAGGAGAAGATTTCAGAAAGCAACAAGCTTTCTGATCAGGAGAAAACCAGCAATGAACACATCCCTTACCTCTCTCCTTACCACAGCTCCTCATATAGATATGCAAACATCCCAGCGCATGCCCGCCATTATCAAAGCTACATGCAGTTAATTCAACAGAAATCTGCAGTTGAGTATGCTCAGAGCCAGCTGAGTTTAGTGAGCATGTGCAAGGAGTCTCAGAAGTGTTCAGAGCCCAAGATGGAATGGAAGGTGAAAATCAGGAGCGACGGGACACGGTACATAACAAAGAGACCAGTGCGAGACCGGATTCTGAGGGAACGTGCCTTAAAGATCAAGGAGGAGCGCAGTGGCATGACGACAGATGATGACACCATGAGCGAGATGAAAATGGGCCGCTACTGGAGCAAAGAGGAGAGAAAGCAGCACCTGGTTCGGGCCAAAGAGCAGCGTAGGCGCCGAGAGTTTATGATGCGGAGCCGCTTGGAGTGTCTTAAGGAGAGCCCCCAGAGTGGCAGCGAGGGCAAGAAGGAGATCAACATCATTGAACTGAGTCACAAAAAGATGATGAAAAAAAGAAACAAGAAAATTTTGGACAACTGGATGACAATCCAAGAACTGATGACCCACGGGGCCAAATCTCCTGATGGCACACGAGTTCATAATGCCTTCTTGTCAGTCACCACTGTATGACCGAATGAATGGGATGCAACTGATTTTAGGAGGGTGCTACCAGTTTGGGTAGAGTATGATTGCCTCGTTCAATGTGGCGTTTTTATATATATTTTGTGACTCTTTATAGTTTAAATTTTTTGTAAGCAAAAATACCTGGTAATTTTTCATTTGTTTTTCATATACTGGTATCTTCTTTTTGGCCGAGATCTTTCTTTAACTTGTGATATATTCATATTACTCATTTATATATATTTAAAAAACAAGCAAAAGGAAAGAAAACAAGAAACTTGAACAAAAATACTGAGGAGCCAATTAATTTCCTATTTTAATGTATCTATTGTAAGTTAAGATCTGGATTTATTTCTCTAGTTTACTTATTTTCTACTTTAAAAACAATTCAATGCCAAAACATTTCTATGCTTGCTTCTTGGCATAATACGTATTAAGTCAACCCCGTTAATAAATCACGTGCCACATCTTGTCCTATACATAAAAACCACCTCTTTTTAATATCCCATTGTACATTTAACACCTAAATGGCCGTTGTCTATGTCTCAGTAAAGTGTAGGTGGACAATCTTCCTGTGGTATGTAGTGACATTGGTCATGTAGCTAGATAATTGTGGTAATTGAGATAATAAAAAATAAATTATTGATTATCCCTAAGAGTTATCAAGGAGTGTTTTATTTTCATTGTCCACTATGGTTACCAGATTTCGATTAGTTATATATGTATACTATTTAGAAGACTCCTAATTGTGGATTATAAAATGTGTACATTTTCTATCACTTTTTTTCCAATAAAATTGTCTTGAAATACTTCCCATAGATCATTGTGTCACATATTCTTACCAGGATTCAATTAGATAATATATGTAGAGCATCCAACAGATATTACCTGAACATCCAATAAATATAAGTTGACCTCCCCTTTCCTGCCACCCATGAAAGGTAAAGCCAGGAGAAATTTAGGGAAGGACATGGAGAGGGGGTCAGTGAAGTGTCTGAAAATGTTTATAATGGCCCTAAGTGTATTAGTTGGCTTGGGCTGCCATAACAAAATATCCTAGACTGGGTAGTCTAAATAGGAATTTCTTTCTTACGGCTCTGGAGGCTGGGAAGTCCAAGATCAAGATGCTGGCAGATTCAGCAACTTGGTGAGGGCTCTGTTCCTGTCTTGCAGATGGCCACCCTCTCCTTCTGTCTTCAGATGGCAGAGACACAGAAAGGAACCCCTCATAAGAGCTCCACCCTCATGACTCCATCTAAACCTAATTATTTCTCAAAGACCCCATCTCCAAATACCATCACATTAGAGGTTAGAACTTGTTCAAAATATGAATTTTATGGTGACACAATTCACTCTATAACACTACATGCATTTATTTAGTTGATCATTTGGGAATAAATTTGGGGGAATCATCTTTTTAATAATTTCCAGCCTAGTCAACTATAAATGCTTTCTATGTCAGTTTATGAAAAAGTGAGATTGCTAGATTATCAGATAGGTTCTTTAAATCTAGCTTTTCATCATAAAAACCATATATATGTCAATTGTGGTGCCTCCAGAGTAAAGGCCAAATCGACCATGTACATGCAAACATGAGTTTGATCACATTTTCATTCAACCCAAGAGATTGTTGGAGACATGATGGAGACATAACATCTGAATATTTCTGAAGCTACTTTCCTGTTTAAAAACCAACAGTGGCTTCTTATTAGCTCTTGAATCAGACTCTGATGCCTTGGCCTTATATTCCAGGCCCTTCATTCACTTGCCCACTTTGCCCACTGCTCCTCCTTTTCAGGTCTTCTCTGAGTTTATTCCTGGCTTCCCATTTCCACTCTGGTTATCTTATACTATTCTCCTGTCTGGGGTTCCTGTGCCAAACTCTACACTTCCCTTAGAGTGTAATCACATAGATGTTTTCTCTTTGGAGCCTCTTTTGATGACACCAGATTTTCTCAGCATTTTGGCATACACTGTGATGCACCTGCGGTATTGTTTTGCCTTCGTTTTTTTAATCCTGTTATTTGAATCACATACATAGAATGTATTGTCTCCCTACGTGGATTTTAAGTTCATGGAGTTTGGCCCTTGTGTCCCCCCTCTGTCTTTGTAAACCTCTGTAGAATGCCATTTGAATAATAATGAATGCTAGTTGAATTAAATTATTATATTCATTTATCTCTCTCCTCCACATCTGGTCCTTTTGTTACTGTTTTCCTTACTCTTCTACCTTTCCAAGTTCTTATCTCTTGAAGGGCTCTAACATAGATGGAAAAAAATGAATCTTAGTTACATACAATGAAAAGCTGGACTCGGAAATTTTAAGATAAGTGATAGTAATAGCAACCTAAGGCAACTGAAAATTTCATCAATTCCAACTTTAGCCATTGTTAATACAATCACTCAGACTACTCTGAATGCACCTGGAGTTTTTAAAATAAGAATGTCTATCTTAAAAGCTCAGTTCTTTCCTGACTTAATGCCTGTGGTTATTGTTTATCCTCTTGACATAACAGGGTTTAAATATTCACTGTATTCAAATTACTCCTATAGATAAATGTGATTTGGAACCAACGTGTAGATTTTTCCAGAAAAAACATGAACACATCTCACAGAATGTAGTGTTTCCAAAGTTACCAGTTTAATTTTATTTTTATTAAGGCCAAGTGTTCTTGCCAATTTTTAAAAAAGTGTGATGTTGGTATTTTTCATGTCTGTGTTTATACATTCTACAAGTTGAGAAATGTCTTTTTCAAAAATCAGTGAAAATCTGGAAGTGTTATGTTTTTATCTTTCTACGTAACCTATCTTTGTGCTAAACATGTTTTTTTAGTAAATGAATAATAAATCTGTTGCTCAGCAAAGAAAAATAATTGGTTATATGTGGGATATTTTACTTCAGAAGAAATATGTGAATGTAAAGAAGAAAAATATTTTACTTGGACATACCTTTGAAATTCCATATTTTATTGCTTTTTATACTCAAGATGTGACAGAAATTGATGTTAGGATCCACCTGTGAATGACCAAGGGGGTGGAAAGGAATGCATATTCGATGCGTATTTCTTTGCTGCATGCCACGAAGAAGGCTATTGTTGCCATCTTCTTTTGTGCAGATTATCCTTCTCTGAAGACATAACGTGGGCTGAGGGAGGACTCCTCTAACGTAGGCTTTCTGCAGCTACCTACTGATTTAATCCATGTCTTATTGGTGTGTCTAGATCTTCTACCTGAACACATTCCTTTTATCTCTCCAATGAGCTTCTGTTCTCTGCTTCAAATTCTTTGCTTTGTGATGGGTGCCATTGTTCACCTGCTCTTTCACGCTTATCACCTAAGTCTGCTTGAATCTGATCAGTCACAAAGCAGTGTTATTTTTTGTTTAAAATGTGTCAAGTTATCTTCAGTACCCTAAATCACCTTTGGCTGGACTGTCACTGTTTTGTGCCTAATTACTTCAGCAGGTCTCTGCCTGGTCTCCCTGTGCTCCCTTTCCCATCTATCCTACATATGGTGGCAACACCTGACCTCCTAAATGTCACTTTCCTCACTTGCTTAGGTACCTTCGAGAGTCTTTTCCTGAGCATGGGATACAATCTGAGTGCCTGAGACTATTATCTAAGAGGATTTCCATAATTTAACTTCAACCTGTTTTCCACCTGATCTCACATTTCTCCCCAGGAGGGACTTCCAATTCAGACCTCAGGAAACCTATGCCTGGGGTAGATGAATAATTTGATGCTCCTTCAAACTAATATTTTTTAAATTCTAATTAAATTTATTTTCTATTAATTTATTATGCTCTTATTAGTTAATATCCATTATTTTTCTATTTCTATTAATAATCATTAATATAACTGATGTAATATAACTAAAATAATAGCATCATAATTATTATTAAATAATTTTTATTAATTTTCAATTAATAAAGAACACAGTGACAGGTTCACAGACTAATTCACTTCTAAAAAAAGAAAAACAGTTTAAAAAAATTTCCTCCAGCAAATTATTTCTCACTTATTGGAAGGTTTGTTCTTTTTTCAGTTTTCTATCATTCTTTTTCAAAATGTATGTCTTTGGAAGTACATTAAAGGACTTGGACTTGAGATAGAACAAACCATGTCCTCCTATAAATATGCATGATATGGTTTCAGAATTTCAGTGAGGACCGACTACAGGAAGGCGCTGACAAAAATAATTGACCAAGATAGTCACCTAGTGAGGAGAACTTTGAGATTTTTTTTGTTCTTTTGTTTTTTGCTGTTTCCACTCAAGTGGGTGGCCTTTCCAGCCAAAGCGGAGCCAGTTCACACGGCTGCCCCACTATGCTTTTGCTTTAGTCAGACATGCCTCCCCACAGTTTCTCAAAGACACCATTCTCATTTCCAGCACCACTCTTCACTTGTTGTGTTTTGTGTGTTAGACAAAACCTCTTTTCTCCTTGTCCATCCCTCCAGCACTGTTTCTTTCCCCTCTTTCCATCACTCCAGGAGACCTGCCCTAACTCTTGCCAGCAGCCACTCTTATTTCTAAACACTCATAGATGGTATTGTCTTAACACTCACTTGGCTTTCTACCCAATAATGTCGAATAATTTTTTTCCTATAGTGTGTCTGTCATGAGTATAATGTGTTGCACAGTTAGTCACCATTGCCACATATGTCCTTCTGGCATTTCTTCTGTTTTGCCAAATAGCTGCTGCTCAGGATTTTGGGTGCCATGCATTTTTTTACACATCCTAGTCAATGGTGTTGTATTGCAAAAAAGCGTTGCATCTGGGTTCATGGGCCATCTCTAAGCTAGAGTCCTGCTTGTTATTCAGTATCCCACTACATATTTTTAACTTATTAATGTCCACTGCTTACTTTCTGCCTCCCTGCTCTGCCATTTGCTAGGTTTGTATTCACAGGCAAGTTACTTAAGCTTGCTAGTGCTTTGGACAGTGGAGATCATTATAGCCTTTTTCATAGGTTGAGAATTCTATGGGTTAATACATATAAAGAAGCTAGGTAAGTACTGGCACAGAGTGCACACTCAAGAGATGTTAGCCATTATTTTTACTTATAGGTGATGTGTATCACGTGTGGCTGATATGCCATGAATTCCGCAGCTACAAAGCCCTAGATTCCGGATGCAAACTTGTGATAATCTGCTCCCAAAGTTTCCCTTCCTTCCACTGTTTCCAGCCCCCCCATTAAATAAGAATGGACATTAGAGTTAATAGCAACTTGTTCATGAAGCTCCATAAGTTCTGCTCCAAATGGAAGTTCAGACACTTGACACCATTTTCTTTGTGTCATCAAATGTGCTGACTTTCTTCTCTTGGTTCTATTTTACCAGTTAGCCTATTTTTTTAATTGCATGTTGTCCATGGTGGGGAATTATGATGGTAGATTTTGGTTTTGTTTCAGCTAAGCAGTATATAACTACATTCTGCATCAAATTTATTATCACCCCCTTTCTACTGGGCTGCTTGCCACATCCACAATCAGAAATGTGCCATTGTTGTAAAGAACCTCTTGATATCAATTTACAGGACTGTCACTAGTCTTTACAGCCTGGTATCTTAACAGGAAGCATAGTCAATGCTACCTATTCAAACCTAAAATTCATTTGAATAAGAAATCTAATAAACCAAGACATTTATTTAACTTCA